GTTAAGGATGCCGTATCAAGTGCACTTATCTGAAAATGTGTTTAAGGTGCTACAAGCGTGGAACACATTATCCGAATTATTTAAAGATGTGGTATGTATTTATACATACAAAATGAACACGCAATTATATACATAGAAAACAGACGTAGATTCTGATTCTATTGTCATATATTATAAATCATAGTTTTTGTGGTAATCGAAAGGGGACGGGATTAGGTCTTTGTTTTAAATAATTTAGCTTTGACATCTATTAATAAAGTAAATGGTTCATTCAGCACTACTATCAACACACGGTAGATTTATTAATGGTCGTACTCTAACAACTCTAATAAGGTAGGTAATAATAATATATACAGTACGCGTGCCAAATCAAAGGAGAATTTTAAAGTAAGTGGGAAGTAAGGAATAGGTAGAGGAGCGCACAGCACGTAGTCACTGCAGTTTTATTTATTAAAGTTCGTTTAAAATAATATATTCAACGAAGTAATCAATGAACTGAATTATGTGAAATTTCAAATAGAGTTGATTTTTTGATATAGACGTGACTTATAGACGCAATGAAGTCAAGGTATAGTTCAAATTGTAAATATAAGTAAACAATGTTCGTGCGGTAGTAATCTTATGGTGAAAGCAAGCAAAGCAGAGTTTGGGGGAAGAGGTGTTAATAATTTATAAATCGAGTGCTATAAATCGTTATGTGTTTTACATTATATGTATTTTATAGAAGTTTTTTTTCAATCCCAGATTATTTTTGCACCTAGATCTAATACCCTTTCTCTTCTCCGAACCAATCTTTGTTCGATTTTTGAACTATTACGAAAAAATCCGTAAATTATTTTTTTTCACCTCTTCCAGTTTGAGACGCCAAAACCACTTTAAAGGGTATATCTGGTGAATAATAGGGTGTCTGGTTAAAATTTGTAGCTGATTAGAGGCTTTTCCTTTTCTTCACCCCCTCCCCTGTCTGCCAACATCCGATTCATTCTCACTATGCAGAGTATTAAAATTTGTGATTTTCGACAAATAATTAGTACACAATCTTCGTGTGGTAGTAATCATAGGGTGAAAGCAGCCTGGGTCAGAGTTAGGGGGGGTATGTCATTTAGAAATGGAATATCCTTATAAATCGTTAAGTATGTTATATTTTATTTATTTTATGAAAGTTTTTTTCAACCCTTAACATTTTACCAATAAAGGGTGAGCGACCACTAATACTTATCCTACATTAATAATGCCAATACCCTTTCGATCCCCAAATCAATTTTTGTCCGATTTATACGCTATTACGAAAAAATCCATAAAATATTTTTTCCACCCCTTCCAGTTTGAGACGCCAAAACCCCTTTAAAGGGTATATCTGGTAAATAATAGGGTGTCTGGTTAAAATCTGTAGCTGATTAGAGGCTTTTCCTTTTCTTCACCCCCCTCCCCTGTCTGCCAACATCCGATTCATTCTCACTATGCAAAATATTAGAATTTGTGATTTTCGACAAAATATTAGTACACAATCTTCATGTGGTAGTAATCACAGGGTGAAAGCAGCCTGGGTCAGAGTTAGGGGGGTGTGACATTTAGAAATGGAATGTCCTTATAAATCGTTCGGTATGTTATATTCTATTTATTTTATAGAAGTTTTTTTCAACCCTTAACATTTTACCAATAAAGGGTGAGCAACCACTAATACTTACCCTACATTAATAATGCCAATACCCTTTCGATCCCCAAATCAATTTTTGTCCGATTTATACGCTATTACGAAAAAATCCATAAAATATTTTTTCCATTCCTTGCAGTTTGTGACGTCAAAACCCCTTTAAAGGGTATATCTGGTAAAAATAGGGTGTCTGGTTAAAATCTGTAGCTGATTGGAGGCTTTTCCTTTTCTTCACCCCCCTCCCCTGTCTGCCAACATCCGATTCATTCTCACTATGCAAAGTATTAAAATTTGTGATTTTCGACAAAAAATTAGTACACAATCTTCGTGTGGCAGTAACCATAGTGTGAAAGCAGGCTGGGTCAGAGTAAGGGATGGGTATGACATTTAGAAATGGAATGTCCTTATAAATCGTTAAGTATGTTATATTTTATTTATTTTATGGAAGTTTTTTTAAACCCTTAACATTTTACCAATAAAGGGTGAGCAACCACTAATACTTACCCTACATTAATAATACTAATACCCTTTCGATCCCCAAATTAATGTTTGTCCGATTTATACGCTATTACAAAAAAGTCCATAAATTTTTTCCACCCTTTACAGATTAACCACTAAAGGGTTAGCGATCACTAATACTTACCCTACATTAATAATACTAATACCCTTTCGATCCCAAAATTAATGTTTGTCCGATTTATACGCTATTACAAAAAAGTCCATAAATTTTTTCCACCCTTTACAGATTAATTCGTCAAATCCCCCTTTAAAGGGTTAATTTGATGCATAACAGTGTTTGATTAAAATTTGNATCAATTTTTGTCCGATTTATACGCTATTACGAAAAAATCCATAAAATATTTTTTCCACTCCTTCCAGTTTGAGACCCCAAAACCCCTTTAAAGGGTATATCTGGTAAATAATAGGGTGCCTGGTTAAAATCTGTAGCTGATTAGAGGCTTTTCCTTTTCTTCACCCCCCTCCCCTGTCTGCCAACATCCGATTCATTTTCACTACGCAAAGTATTAAAATTTGTGATTTTTGACAAAAAATTATTACACAATCTTCGTGTGGCAGTAACCATAGGGTGAAAGCAGGCTGGGTCAGAGTTAGGGGGGGGGTATGACATTTAGAAATGGAATGTCCTTATAAATCGTTAAGTATGTTATATTTTATTTATTTTATGGAAGTTTTTTTAAACCCTTAACATTTTACCAAAAGGGTGAGCAACCACTAATACTTACCCTACATTAATAATGCTAATACCCTTTCGATCCCCAAATCAATTTTTGTCCGATTTATACGCTATTACGAAAAAATCCATAAAATATTTTTTCCACCCCTTCCAGTTTGAGACGCCAAAACCCCTTTAAAGGGTATATCTGGTAAATAATAGGGTGTCTGGTTAAAATCTGTAGCTGATTAGAGGCTTTTAATTTTCTTCACCCCCCTCCCCTGTCTGCCAACATCCGATTCATTCTCACTATGCAAAATATTAGAATTTGTGATTTTCGTCAAAAAATTAGTACACAATCTTCGTGTGGTAGTAATCATAGGGTGAAAGCAGCCTGGGTTAGAGTTAGGGGGGTGTGACATTTAGAAAGGGAATGTTCTTATAAATCGTTAAGTGTGTTAAATTTTATTTATTTTATGGAAGTTTCTTTCAACCCTTAACATTCTACCAATAAAGGGTGAGCAACCACTAATACTTAACCTACATTAATAATGCCAATACCCTTTCCATGAGCAAATCAATTTTTGTCCGATTTATACGCTATTACGAAAAAATCCATAAAATATTTTTTCCACCCCTTCCAGTTTAATTCGCCAAATCCCCCTTTAAAAGGTTAATTTAATGCATAACAGTGTTTGGTTAAAATTTGGAGATGATTTCAGGGCTTTTGAGACTCTAGCTGCAATAGTCAAAACATATCTGGGGGCGTAATTTTGCAGAAATCGCACCCCTGAGAAATAATTAAATAGTGTGGTTTCTATCTCCTAATTGTACTTGCTGAGAATTGGACGATTACATCATTACAAAATATTCTATAAAAGGCAATGCGGGGGGAACAAGGGGGAACGATTGCAAGCGCGAAAGCGTTAATAAAATTGAGAATAACACCCACATGACACAAGAGGGGGCGAGTCTGACCAATAAGAGGCGAAAATCTAACGAGCGGAAGTGCTATAAGAAAAGCATTGGGAGATAAGGAATTTAGCCCCTAGATATCCTACTTACAACTATCTTTTTAGGATTGAGCCTACTTCCTTCCGATGTAATTATGTGATCTAGAAATTCTGCTTCCTTTTTTAACAATTCTGACTTATCTAGCAGTACTACAAAAAACAATAACTCACTAACACATTTCAAGTGCGCACCTCTTTTATTTATGATTGACTAAACCTGCTGAAGGACACGCAAATCAGTCTCCTAAACTAGAAATAGATAGCAAAACATCAACTAATTAAAATAATAAATACTAAAAAGATAATTATGTTATCATCAAATAAAACCCAATTTGAACGTTGTGACGTTTTAGTCATATGATTTTTGTTCAGAATGAATAGTTTCAATTTATTATAAAAAAAATAGTNGTTATAAAAATAACTATAAATAAATAATAAATAATCAACTAAATAATAAATAAATAAATTATTTATGTTTACTGCATTTGGCAGCAGCAAGAATAAAGAGGGGATCCGCGTAAGGCTTCTGGATTTTTCCTTTCAAAATGCAATTTAGTTTCTTAATATAACTGAATAAAATAAGCAGGGCTGTAATTTTGAAAAAGTATTTTTGTCTGTCAATATGAAATCGTCAATTTTAATAAAATCCAGTAACTTCTTCAATACACAAGTTTGGTGCAGAAGACCCGGTAGCACCTGCAACGCTTGATTGGTAACAGTTCTAATCAAAGCTGTAAAATTACTAGAAGGGTGAAACAATGAATCACCCTTGTACTCTTTGCAATGAACAAACACATTTTCAGGTAATTCGCGTGTTGTTTCCATAAGAGACTTACACGAATTACAAGAAAATTTACTAAAGAAGGGTTTGGCCACAAAATTAGCAACGTACGGCGTAGCAAAGTCATTCTCAACAAGGGAGGGAAGCTCTATTTGACGTAACTGTCTCTGTAACATCCTTCTGTTCCTTTCCTTCCACATCGTGTCGTTCGGCGACAAAACGTTTGCCCTTTCGAAACATTCTCATCACATACAGTTAGCTGCTACGGAACGTGGTGAGGAAAGATTGTTTAAAAGGATGGTTTTAAAGGATGCGACAAAGGAAGAACAGGTGGGATTTCTCACTGAATGGTTTCTAATTTGTGAGAAAAAATTCTCCATGGGATCTTGATTAAAATTCCTGGGAGAACTTGATTGAAAGGACCCTTTTAATCTTTCCCACAAATACAGAAAACCTTCCGAGTTGAAATCCAGTTCTTCAGGCTAGGAATGATGGTTTTGATATTGTTGGCTTTGAAGGACATGGTTTGCAGGACAGCAATAGCAGGCTGTCAGAACTGAAAGTGATCGGAATTGTGTTTCACCATGCACCGTAGTCGTTTACCGATAGAGGATTTCACCTGTGAGCCATTGAAGCTATCAAAAAGCATGTCGAAGAACAGCAAGAGATCGGCGGTGTCATTTGCGGAAGGGTCTAAAATAATAAAAAAAAAAAAATACAGGGAATCTTTCGGTACGAAAGGGCTGTAACATGTCCTGGAACGCATGGCGCCAACAACGGTGTGGCTAAACACTTGCGTTGCAATTTTTACCTTCATTTTCCGAATTTTATGAGGTAGTACGTGCTCGTCTGTTAACTTGTAGCACTGCCTATAAAGACCCTGTTGCTGATCTATCCGATATAATTGCAGTATATGTGACCAGCTCGCTACTTTCTCTTTGCCGTGCTGCGTGAAATGTAAATAGTAAAACTGTTCCTAATACCCCTCAGCAGATCAGGTGGATCGAATATTGGAACAACTTCTTCACCATCGATTACATAACCGAAATATCGACACCTCCCCCCCCCCCCGGAACGAAGGCACTCTGCCCTTGTATCACTGAGGAGAGTGTTGATAGCGGCTCGGTTGGTAGATCCCTGATCGCCTATAGGTGCAACTACTTTCAGTCCAATGCTATGGTGACGCCGAACAAGGTCTTTTATAAGCCGAACCAAGTCTACAGTAGCAGTTGTACCTTCACAAAATCAAAAAAAAAAACAGGTTGTTTCCAACCACTCCGAATGCCTTTGATCATAAATACCACAGCATGGTCAGCAAAGCGATTCTTACGAAAGCCTCCGCCCAAATCTACAAAACCTTCAACAAAGTCCAGCTGTTTGGAGTACTGAAGTGCAGGTTGCAAAGAAATTTCGTCAAACATGAGTACACAGAATTTATCCGGATTCTTCAGTTTGGACACCGTCGTTCGCAAATGCTCAAATATGTGGTCGTTCATTCCAGGGAAAAGTGGAATTGACTGCAATATTTGACCAAGCGTTATACGTGATGGCAAACTGAAAAATTGGGATGAAAACCGGTACGCTTTCCCACTCTGCTTGTAAAGTGACAATGCAAACACTTTGTCGTTAACTGACGTCCCTGGGGTTGCAGCTTCTAGTTTCTTAATTGATACTTCAAAAAGTGAAGAGTAGAATCATTCACGCCCTCTAAATAATTTAGCAGATGCCCGTTCTTCTTCACCAAAGCTGTCGCATTACTGTTACTAGTTCTCAAAACCTTACGAAGTTTACGAATCTTGCCCAGAACAGTTGATCCCCTCTTACAATCTTGCCCAATCCCTGAAAAAAATCATTGCACTTCAATAACCATGTAACTAAGCTTTTGAAATTTACATATTGCTAATCACATATAGTGATGCACTTTTTGCATTTTAATGTGTATAAATAAATTAGCTAAAGACAGGTATATTTGTATAAACAAAGAAATTGTTCTTTACCTAATTTAGTACTGCTTCCTCCTTCTATAGGGGGTGCTAACATTTCAGTAACTTGCAGAAGTACTAGCTTCTGTATTGTCCATTGTGACTGTACTTTCTATAACAAATAATTATATGTTTTGGATATTTGAAACTGTTATCTGCATAATTACCTGCAGTTGAAACAATTCTTCTTTTTCCCCCATATGTTTTCACTGGATGCAGTACTTTTTCATTCTTTAATGATACTTCAGGAAAATGGAAACCGGCATCTTGATCTTCAACTCCTATGGGAACTGCATAATCTAGGTAGAACATTTCAAATTAATTTTTGATTATTTCTTACAACTGAAATGCTTACAAGGTAAATACAAAATTGGCACTGCCTGGCGTCTTAAGTTTCCCATTTGCCCTTTTGCATATGGGGTGGAAATGCCGGCCACACACCCCATAATGGTGTACTGTACGACACTGTTTTTCTGCGTTGGTCAGAAAACACCCTTTCCACCCATACGCATTGCAAATGGGGTTGTTTGGGAAAATTGTACCTACAAGAATTACAACAAATAAATGTACTCTCTTGTATACTGAACATCATTGCATTATTACCTTGGGGTAATTTCCTCACATCTTTCGACGCAGCATATCCTTCTTTGTATTTCTATCTTTTATTAGCTACAATAATATCAACAGCAAATTAATAAACAATGACCACCTATTAAGAGTTTTAACAAGTTTTGATTCGATGAGCAGTTTCTAACCAGCACTATTTCAGAAAACAATTACTTATTGTAAAGCATGATTGAAGTACTTAATACATTACTTACTTTCAGGGTAGGTAAAAGCACTTCCCACCAAAATGTTAAACTATTACAACTTGCGAAACTACACACTATTGCTCAATATACGCCATAACTCATAGATCATAGATAATAGACATACAAAGTCGCCATAACTAGTGGGGAATTCCGCCGGCAATCGCAACCGCTGTTGCGTCATCTGTTGTCGTTTCACTAAAATGATATTGTAATTTAAAAACTGTCATGGGGTAAACTTAGGTGTCGCTGACGCTCGACATTTCATAGAGGACTCTAACATTTCATATCCTGATCAAAGAATACAGACTCATAGAAGCCCACATCAGTGGGATTTGGTGTCGCACGTGTCGCAGTAGAATGCTCAGTTCTAACTGCGACCGTAGGAGTCGCATCGATTGAGAATAAACAATTTCATCGATTGTAGTATAATTGCCATTTTATAATATTTTATCATTATCAATATTTTCTATTCTGACTGTTGCTATTCCCTGAAATGTAAATATTGAACATCATTTTTATAATAATCAGCTACTAATTAAAATATTTTTCATCCTGAAAGAAAAAATTTTTATGTGCACCCCTACTCATAACTACTCTGGTCGACGCATGACCAACGACTGCTGACAATTCCATAGATAATAGATCTACAAAGGGTAATAGATGGTCAACGCGAAATGCGCTGACTTGCGCGCCCTCCGGCAGGCTTATTCAACACTAAATAAAAAAGGCGCGCACTTTAAATGTGTTAGTTATTTATTGTTTTTCGTAATGTGTAAGTTAAATTGAAAAATGGATAAGAAACAACGCAATTTTCCTTTTTTATAAAAGAAAACACATTGTTTCTTTTGTAAAAAAGGAAATACATTGTTACTTGTCCATTTTTCACCTTAATATAAGAACTTGCGAATTTATAAGTGCAAAAGTAATAATAAGTGAAATAGTAAAAAATATTTATTAAATCTAACAAATACACTTGTACAAAATAAAATATTTTATGTAATTTGAACAGACAATCGGCCAAATAGAAAAGATCACAAAACAGAAGAAACAGTAATATAGTTCAACTTAATAGTAACACTTTAAACTTTTAACAATTTTCAGTAGTAAGAAGAAGTATGCATAAAAATTGAACGTTAGTCAAACTTTTTGGAAACATTTACCTGAAATTGTGGCAAGACAATTTTAAGAGAGGCTCGTAGGGGGCCGGCGATCATCAGTGGCTGTAAAATCTGTCGAAATAATGAAAATTATACTTAGAAAGGTACCGCATGGAATACGTTCAAGAAAAGGGATGCATAAAATTGAACGTTGGTCAAACTTTTTGGAATTATTTACCTGAAATTGTGGCAAGACAACTTAAAGAGAGGCTCATAAGGGGGCCGGCGATCATCAGTGGCTGTAAAATCTGCAAAAATAATGAAAATTATGCTTAGAAAGATACCACACGGAATACGTTCAAGAAAAGACAATAGGGATGATGACTGATTTTCAAAAACTACTCCACGATGTTTGTAGGTAACTGCTTTATACAAAATAAATTTTATTTCCGAAAAGAATTCAGGTTTTTAAGGAAAAATTAGCGTTTTAAAGAATACGATTTAAACTTTACGCCAAAACGATAGAATAGTAATGGCGTCTATGTGTGACGTCACCGTTTCGTAAACAGTTGACACGTTGCATGTTTACATGCATTGAGATACATTAAATTAATTATTTTGAGCGATAGTTATCATGAATTCTGATGAGTATCGATGGTGTGCGGTTCCTTAATGTAATAATACATCGATAAAAACTCCGAATAAGTTGTTCATTATCGTTCCAATGAAAAAAAAAGTGAGAAATACGTGGCTTAATCTTGCAAGGCGAGACCAAGCAGCTATATCTTCAAAATCTGTAATTTATTTCTTTGAAGACCATTTCGATGTAGGTATTTAAATCATTTACTACTTTTAAAATGTTTGATGTGTCCAGTAAGCATAATGTCGAGATTAAAAGCAGTTTGTAAATGTCACTGTTGATTAAATTTGTGCTAAACTTGCTATCAGCTACGCAAAAGCAACCCTTTTGTAGTCCTGTCAAATACATTTGCATCTGAATCTGTGCATTAAATTTTTCTGTTGGTTTTCCATTTTTAACATAATTTTGATATGTTTTATCACTTGTGGGGCATTTAATTTCAATAACACTATCTTCACAGATCCCATCTGGTGATCCTGCTATCATGAAGTACTCATTAGACAACATGAGCCCACACTTCTTTATTTTCTTGCCAAGTTGCATGCTGACAGTTTTTCGGACTTCGTTTTCTAATGTCCTACCACGTTTCATAGCAGCGTTGTCTGGAATACTCCCTCTCATTATCAATGCTATAAGAGTTCCATCATTTTTCTTACACCGACTAAATTCATAAACTCGTGATGCTGTAATTCTACCATAACGCAATTCAAACCAAAGCTTGCTATGATGTTGTTCTCTGGTTTCTACCTCTATTTGAGTAATAGTTTCATCAGACAGTACTAATTTTTCCAGAAATATCTCGCAACATTTCTCTTTATATGTCAGCACAAGTTGATGCATTGATAAATTTTGAATACTATTCCAAACTTAATCAGATTGATATTTTAATAGCTCACAATTATTGAGTTTTCTTTTTCTTCCCATATCCAAAAACTTATTAAGAATACTACTATTTGATGGTAAGCTAGGTGCACCATTTGACAATTCCTTTGCTGTTATACACTTGAGACTATTTCCAACCCTGGACAGTTTGGATTTTTTCCAGTAACATGCGACAGCTGTACAGGATGGCTCTTCACTCCTCCGGTGAATCCACATGAGGCAAGCTATTGAGTGCTTGCAACCTCCTTTAGACGCAACGCAATCGTGACATTGCACAGAGATAACTACTTCTTCTTCTTCGTCCACTACTACTGAGACAGCGTGCAATTTCGCATGTACCTTATGTTCTGGGCAAATTTTACCCTTTACAGTACAAATTTTCCCATCACGCTTTAGCTGTACATAGCTCACAGCGTCATCACCATATGATGGTCTTGAAGATCTGAAATTAACAGAGAACATTAATCGTAATACTTTTCCTTTTTAAATTGAGGTTATAAATGATCGCCTTTAGAGATCAAATAGGTAAGTGTATGTCTTTTTGAGGAAATTACGGTCGGAAATTATGTCTTGATTTATAAATATAAACAATACTTACATGGAAGTTTTAATATTTCGAAATTCAGACGAGCAGAAATCGTTGTTTAATGCGAAAAATCCTCCCAAGATCAATAAATCGATCCTTGGCAAATTTGAGCTATTTGCCTTGATAAATCCTTGTTCCATAGCTAACTTTTCTTTTTCGGACTCTTATAATAACACAATACTAATTTTTTAACTATCAAAAATCAGATAAATGGAGCTTTAGTGTCTTTNGCAATTCCGTCTGCTTCTATTCCTCTACCAGAAGAAGTTCTACAAAACATTTTTTTTTAGAACTTAAGTTTCACAACAACAAATTACAATACCTGCCACTTTCGTTGGAACCGCTGTTACTTCAGGAAAATGGAAAGCGGCATCTTGACCTTTAACTCCTGCAGGAACTGTATAATCTACGTAGAACATTTCAAATTAATTTGACCCCGTAATAGTGTAGACTGTACATCACGGTTTTTCTGTGTTGGGCAGAAAACATCCTTTCTTTACTTATTGTAAAGCATGATTGAAGTACTTAATATATTACTTACTTTCAGGATAGGTAAAAGTACTTTTCACAAAAATTTTAAAATATAACAAGTTGTGAAACTACTCACTATTGCTCAATAACGCCACAACTACTGGGGAATTCCTCCGATAATCGCAACCGCCGTCGCATCATCTGTTGTCGTTTCAGTAAAATGTATGTCGCCTAGTATGTCGGTAATGTCGATTTTGGTAATTTAAAAAATTTAAAAACTTACGTGGGGTAAACTTAGGTGTCGCTCGCGCTCGACATTTCATACCCTGATCTGAACATTCTACTGCGACACCAAATCCCACTGATGTGGGCTTCTATTGGTCTGTATTCTTCATTGAAATTAATATGTATATCCATAGTGTATATCTATTATCTATGGTCTTCACAGATGCGTGACGGATGACTGACACCTCAGCTTAACGTTTTAAACTATTATCTATGACTATTATTAAATTTTAGAAATCACCGATCAAAATTCGCGGCAGCTGGAGCTCTTCAGAATGGGCTGAACGTTTCCAAGGATTCCGCATTTTTTAACATTGTAGCTTTGCACTATTGCACTGTAGTGTCACCCTATGGTGACGCCTCATTTTATGGTGACAGTCTGTTAAGGTGATCCACAAATTATTTGACCGCTAATTTGGTAATATGGTGCTAATTAAGGATGTAAGGATGGTTTAAGGATATACAATAAAAGCATCTCCAAATAAAGTTGCACAGTTGTACTACAGTAAATTCTCAAGAAAAAGGTCAATTTTGAAAATATAACGGGTATATAGATGCCTTTTTGATTGATTTCACTGAAATGAACAGTTTTCTATTTTCAGAAGGCAATTTCATTTATCATAAATGTTTTCTAAGAAGAACACGCCTTATCTAAAAGCATTTGGTTTAGTAAAGCAGCAGATGGTTAATGATATAGAAGAGATTGTACATGACCACGAAGAAAAGGAAAAACTGTATATTTCTTTAGATGAGAAAATGGCAAATGATGAACGATTTACAGAAATTAGGTCTTTTATTGAAGAAATAAAAGATGGACAATTAAAATTATTATATTTAAAAAATGAAGTAAACAAAATAAATACACTACAAAGACAAACGATATCAAATGTAAAGGACATAAAAGAAAAATTTAAATATATACGGGAATAACTGAATTTGATTTTTTTTCAAGGTTGTGTGTATTGGCAACGTATATTATGTAGTTTATAATATATATTCATTATTTGTCTTGTTGCTTTCATTAAAGGTTGTATGATTTCCTAACTTGATAACCTAAGTCACACGAAAATCAATCCACCGGAATGCAAGATTACTAAGTTGAAAATATACAAGCCATATTTACCCATTATTGAAAAACTCTTAAATCAATTTAAAGTACAGTTTAAGTTTATATTTGAAACCTGGCGCTACATGAAAATACACATTTTAACAAAATCTCACAGTCAAAGAAAAAAAGAGAGTAATGAGACAACTTTAAAAAACGTAATATACCATGTACCTAATATGTGCAATGAAAATTTGAATGACAGAATGTTAAATGTAGGTATCTTAAAAATATGCACTGTTTTATAATATTCCTTATTATATTGCAGCTTCAAAAGAATATAAGTGTAACCAATGTTAAGGAAAGTATAAAATATTAATATGTTGTATTTTTGTCTTAGCGACAATCTTTAAATTTGAAATTATTTTTATAATTAACATTTTTGTTTTGTTTTCTTGTCGCAGTTGATAAAAGTGCATAAACATGTCACGTTTTTCAAAACACTATGTCAAATGTAGGCTTAGTTTTTACTATATGCATTTTTATAAATTTTATTTTTGATGAATTTATCTCACTCGAAATCATGGGAAGGGTACCAATACAACGAAAATTAACTTAATAACGTATGAATTTATGCAGACTACTTACATGTTTTTTTAAAAATTAGTTTTGGGTTTTATTTTATCCACACAAATAAAATATTGTAGCACAATAGCCTCTTCGGGTTAAATCTAGGTTTACCTATTATTTTGGGAACCCGCCCTTAGCGGGCGTGCCCCGCAAGCGGGCGGCACGTTTTTTTACAAATACCATTTAAAAATATGCTTAGAATTTTAGGTAGGTGATAAATTGACGTTTTAAAATGTTATACCTAAAAGCTGATCCTTACCGTAAACGAATTAGGGTTTGGGCAACCTGAAATATCTATAACAAAATATATTAAATCCCAACAAGGGGCAGTAGCTAACCGTCGATAATAATCACATTAAGCGATAATGGACACGTAACAATTTTCACTTGCCGAATTTTCAGTTGAGAAAACCTCATTTAAAATTGTTATATATTTATAAATGGGTCGAATATATGCCATTTTATGTTGAAAAATAAAAATTCAATTTTCCTTTTTTTTAACAGAACTAATGGGCGCATAATTATGATACTAACTTATTTAGAGCCCGCATAGGACGCACAACTTATTGGTGAAATTTAAATCAGAGGATCGGGTGCCAGATTCACACGACTTTATTATGTTACTATATATCCATCTATATATCTCTTATCTATGTATTTATGCCACCTGATGCCATAGACATATATTAATGGACGTGCCTTAGCCGTATGTCATTGTAATAATTTCTTGGCTCGAAAAGTGAGAGAGATCGCAGAGATCGTATGCTTTCGGACTAGTGCCTCTTGCATAACACGCTTACGGACTATCGTGAGAGAGATGGATATTGTCCGAAACTTTGTTCCATCTCTTACTTTTATTGTACCTTTCTAAGTATAATTTTCATTATTTTTACAGATTTCACAATCACCGATAATTTTCGCTCTTCCACGAGCATCCCTTTAAGTTGTCCTGCCACTGATTTTGGTAAGTTTTTATGCATACTTGCGACTTTTTTACAAGGTATTTTGAACTATAATTTGCATTATTTTCAGTCACCAACGATGACGTTCCTTCTTCACTTTTGACTTCGATGACTTTTGTGGCCTTTTCTATTTGCTCAATTATCTGTTCAAATTACATAAAATATTTTATTTTGTACAAGTATATTTGTTAACATTCAATAAATTTTTTTTACTATTCTTTCACTTATTATTACTTTTACTCTTTAAAATTCGCAAATTCTTATGTTAAGGTGAAAAATGGACAAGTAACAATGTATTTCCTTTTTTACAAAAGAAACAATGTGTTTTCTTTTATAAAAAAGGAAAATTGCGTTGTTTCTTATCCATTTTTCACTTTAACTTACACATTACGAAAAACAATAAGTAACTAACACATTTGAAGTGCGCACCTTTTTTATTTAGTATTGACTAGGAAGGCGCGCAAATCAGCGCATTTCGAGTTGACCATCTATACCCTTTGTATATCTATTATCTATGGGCATGTCCATTAGTAAACGTCGACCGTCGGTGCCTCATGCCATCTTATCTATGTCTAAATGTATATCTATGAATTGTAAATGCTGTCGTGTAAAGATAAAGTGTAAATATGGTATAACGGCGCAAACATCGGAAAAAAAACAATTTCTTTTTGCATTGTGGTTTCTCGTTCTCGATAGTTGATAGTTTTGTGAGGATAAAAATAATATTCACGACACTCGCTTTCTAATGGGTGGAACTACCATGCTTCTTTTGAGAAAATCGGCTTTTTAAGCTTATTTACAACATAGGCTACACAGCAACTTAGTTTTAATAAATAAAAGGAATGAAAATATGGAGGATTTAAAAAAGACCGGCCAAACTTCTAAAACTCATTTTAATAAAGGGGACAAAAAGCACATTGAATCAAAGCAACAATATGAAGAATTAATTAATAATGCCATGGAAAATGATTTTCATAAAAAATTCAGTGATGAGAATAATGAAAAGTATGAAACAAAATCATATTTATTTTCAATAAAAATTCAACTGGATGGTATATCATTTAGCTTATTCTTAATGGCTCTTTTCAGTCGCCTTTATAAACTTCAAGAACCTAATTATATTGTGTAAGTATGTTTTATGAATGTTTTTATATATATTTTTACAGTATATTAATTTCAGTTTTGATGAGCTCCATTATGGCAAATATGTTTCAATGTATATCCAAAATACTTTTTATTTTGCATCTAATCCATCATTTGGAATTCAGTTAATTTCTCTGTTATCATATCTATGTGGATATGATGGTAATTTTAAATTTGATACAATTGGTAAAGCTTACAGTCCAGAAATTCCATTGTTTGCACTTCGCATTGTCCCTGCATTTTTTGGCAGTTTGCTTGTACCATTGGCATACCATATACTTTTAGAATTGAAGCTGTCTCAGTGGACTGCACTACTGGGAGCACTTTTAATTTTATTTGATAATGCATTCCTAACACAAAGCAGATTTATATTAATGGAGACAATTCTTATATGTTTTGCTGTTTGTGGTATTTTTTGTATACTTCGCTTTTGCAAGTATAAACACAATCCCTATTGTTTTCATTGGTGGCTTTTGATGTTTATTGCCTGGATTTTTCTTACTTTGGCAGTATGTGTAAAGTATGTGGCTTTTTACACATATTGTTTGGGAATTGTGCTGGTGTTACACAATTTTTGGAATATTGTGCCGTCTAGAAATACTTCCGATAAGTCATTGTTTATACAGTTCTGCATACAAATCATTTCAGCCATCATTATTCCTTTTATGGTTTATTTGGCAGTATTTTATGTTCATTTAAGTGTATTATACAAAGCAGGTCCACATGACAATGTTCTCACAAGTGCTTTTCAGGCATCTCTTGAAGGAGGGTTAGCTTCAATCACTAAAGGTCAACCAATCACTGTTGCACATGGATCTCAGATAACATTGAGGTAATGCATTATTTTTATATAATTTATTATTATTATCTCTATATCTGCAGAGGTAATACAGACTACCAGTTCACAGGACTGAAACTTACAAACCAACTAATGCAAATAATTTACTAACTAAAAGCTGTAGGCATTTTGAAAATTGTTTATTCTATTTTATAGTATTTGATAAAAAAAACACAAAATAAATAAAATAACAAAAATATAATATAATGCATTCGATTCTTACTACTTGTTCATTCGTTTTCCGTACGAGAAAAATTTGAATTATGACTTTTTAATAATTTTTAGAATTTACAAATAATTTTTTAAAATGCATAATGACAAAATAATGATCACTTATAAATATCTGTATGTAAGATTAAAAAAGGATGAAAGGAGGTGGTCTAAATGATCTCTTCTAAATGAACGCTTCTAATCTTTTCTTTTCCGCTGCGCCCACTATCCATGTTTCGCACCCGTACGGCGCCGTGCTCCAAACATACACCTTTAACAACCTTTTTTGAATTTCTAAATTAATCGTTAGCAAGTACAGAAGTGACTTCTTTTATTGAAGGCGACTCGACCCTGCGCTATCCTCTGCTTACTACTCCTTCCATCCTGACTTATCTGACTTTCTAGATACCTAAAATCGGTTACTGCTTCTAATTTTTCATCTCCTATCTTTATATTCGCTATTTCTCTACTTTTTCCTCCCTTGCATAAAAGTATTTTTGTTTTATTTTTATTTATTTTCGTACAGTACTGTTTAGTTAGTACCACATTCATTTTATTATAGCTATCTCTAACTGCTTGCTCAATGCTAACACTGCTATATCATCTGCAAATCTAAGCATACTAATCTTTTGCCCCTGTATATCGATCTCTACAGTTTACTGTCTTTAATGATGTTGATTACGTCTTGCAGCCCCATCTCTATAAATGCCTGTTGCTCTTTATACAAACTAAGTATCACTCTTCTATCTTTGTAACTCATCCCTACATTTTTAAGTATATTTAACATCTTGTCCCATTTAACATTGTCAAAAGCTTTTTCTAAATCTACAAATCCTATGTACGCCCTCTTTCTTTTTTGTATCGTTTTCTCTATTGTTACCCGTAAAGCTAGAACCTAAATTGATCTGCCCCTAATAGTTCTTCCGCCCTTTTTTCCATCCTCCTCTGTACAATTCTAGTTAAGATTTTTGACGCATGAGAAGTTAAGCCAATTGTTCAAAATGTTTCGCTCCTATTCGCGCCTCTCTTTGTAGGCATGGTTACTACCACGTTCAGTTTATAATCCTCTGAAACTTTCCCCTTCTCGTAAATGTGATAAACTTGCTTAAACATACGATCTCTAACCTCTTGTCCTTCATGTTTTATAATTTCCCCCTGTACCCCATCTACACGTGGCACCTTATTATTCTTTTTTAATGCTACATCGAACTCTTCTCTCATCAAGGGGTAACCTAGTTCATCTAACATCATATTATATATCTCTTAACTCATGGCCTTCGTATAGGTTCTCTAAATATTTTTTCCACCCATCTGCCTTTTCCTCATTTTCTATCAAAATGACCCCTGCCTCGTTTCTTATATTATTACTACTGTACCCTACATCTCTAACATTCCTTTTAATTATATTATATGCCTTATCGGTTTTACTTACTTCAAACTTTTGTTCTACTTCTTTACACATCCTATCAATCCACTGTTCCTTAGCTACCCTACACTTCCTAATTATTTCCCATTTCATAGCCTTCTATCTTTTTTGCCTTTCTTCGTCTGTTCTGTTTTTGTATTTTCGCCTTCCTTCTATTAATCATAAAATCTCATTTGTTATCCAGGGTTTCCTACTTTTTGTTTAAGACCTATTATATCTGTGCTGCTGACTTTAGGCACGTTTTAATGCAGTTCCATTCTGTCTCCATGTCCCTATCATTCGTTTCTCCCGCCGCCTTTAGTATTTCGTCTGTCCATTTACCTAGTCTATCACGCGTTTCGTTACATTTTAGGTTTAAGTCAAGACCTTCTTTTCCACCTTCCTTCTTTTTCAGAATTTTCAATTTAAGATTGGTCTTCATAACTACTACTAAGTTATGATCGTTATCTGTATCTGCTCTTGGATAACTCTACAGTCATTCACTTGATTTTTAAATCTTTGCCTAACAAGTATGTAATCTAACTGATATCTCCCTAAATCACCTGGCACCTTCCACGTATAGCTCCTCCGAACGTGGTGGTTCAATAAAGTATTCGCGACGGTTAAGTTATATTTATCGCAAAATTCTACAAGCCTGTCTTCCCTATCATTTCTATTGCCTAATCCAAAAGAACCTGCTATTGCACCCACTTTAAAAGATATAAGTATTTTTATTACAAACAACTGTCCGATTAAACGTATCGTTATAGTGTGGCTTAATTGCACATTTATTTAATTCCAATTTTGAAAATCTTTCATAATTTACAGCTCACACGCCATTTAACGTTTCAGCTAAAGTTTTTCTGTTTCATATCCCTCTAGGCATGATATAAATTGACTGACCTGTACAGGGGGTAGCGAATAACTCCCATTTTAACTTTTAATAAATAAAAATAAAGGGTGGAAAAGATTAATAAATAATTGATCATGAAGTCCCAACTCCACCCCTTTAACTAAACGATTTGCATAATTTATTATTTAAACATTAATTATATGATTTTACAAATAATCTGTTTCGTTCAAATTAAATATTCTATTATATTATAAATTAGTTGCGTTTATTATTTTTAAAATTGTTGTACTCACAGCTGTGGCCCGTAGTTAAACAGCGCAAAGTTGAACTCAATTTACAATAAAAATATAAGTATAAAAGGGATAATACTTGCGATCATGTACAACCTCGTTAACTTGTTAAATACAATAATCCAAATCAGCTCTCGAAATTGATTCGACAGCCTTGAAAAGCTTGGAGAAGGAGCTGATAGCGCGGATAGACAATACAATCTAGGGTTCAGAACTACGACCCTTGAAAAAATTTTCATTTTCTCGGCTCCTACTGAGCTGATTTTAATTTTTTTTAAAGCGATGTCCAGAAAATTAATGTTTGATTTTTCATATTTCCAAAAGCCCGTTATTGTTGTTAGTCATTTGTGTTTTGCCGCTTGGAAAACTTCCTCCCCTTCAACAAGATCTTCATTTAGTTATTCTTGCTCGTTCAAATCTTAATCAGGTCATTAAAAGACAATTTGTTGGTAATCGAAATTGTCAGATTTTTTCATTTTCATTAAAGTAAATTAATAGTTTCAAAACTAACAATAACGAGCTTTTGAATTAACCATAAAAATTTTCGAGATATTGGTTTAAAAAAATTAAAATTGGTTCAGCAGAAGCCGAGAAAATGGAAAGTTCTAAACGCTGGATTTTACTGTGTCTCCGCGCTGTCAGCTCCCTCTCCGAACTTATTTGTTAATTCATGTAGTGTATGTGCTAAGACTAATGAAGTCCTTGGTCAAAAAACAGTCCTGATATCCTTATATTTTTATTGTAAATTGATTTCAACTTTGCGCTGTTATAGTTCCGGTTCAAATTCTATCAAAATAATTTTTTTATGAAAGAAACGACTTTTCGAGAAAAAATATCCAGAACTTTAAACAATTCTCTAGGTTCTCCAAATCAACGGGTTTCAATTTGGCAAAAATATAGACGCTCCTCTGCTGCGTAAATTCTTATTATTATTAGGCAAAAACTGTAAATTCATAATAAAGAGTTCTTTTAGCCAAGTATGAAGGTCTTAGGAGTAATGGAAGTGTATAAAAGAAATCCGCAACTTAATATATATTTTTATTCTTTATTGTAACTGTTTACATTTTTGCCAAGGAAAAAAATGAATTTTGTGATTTGCAAACAATTGCACCTTATAAGAAATTTAATTACCTACGAAAAATTTTCTTCCTCATAACTTTTTTCCTAGGGCTGTAAAAATCTGTTCTTCGGTATTAGATAGAATTACGTCCGCTGCACTGCAATGTTAGATGTCCCAATTGTTTAGTATTTGTACTAGTTTTTAATGTAGCAAGACATTACCGGCTAATAAAAATCTGTAAAAGGAACCGTCTTGTATCTAATTGTAAAAACAGCATTTTTTCATAGCCAAAACCACAGAAGGTGGAATGGTCGAACACACTAACGGTTGACTTTATTATAGCGGCGAAAGCCACCCAAGCTCTCTTAACACGAAAGTGTATGTTGTATAGTACCTACTATTATAAAAGTTGCAATCGTAAAAAAACAGAAAAAGGAATCGTGTAGTGGACGCCTTTTATATTATTAATGAAACGCTTTTTATATTCTATTTACATTTCAAATCGCACAAATGTCATCAGCAAAATGATGTACAATCCTAAGTTACTGAAACTAAAAGAGTGTAAACGTATGGGGAGAATTCGACAATAAAAATATGGTGATCTAGTCATAATAATACGTTTGTAAATGAAGTAAGTTATGTGAGACCATCGCAAATACACATGCATAATTTTACGTTTGTTCTTAAGTATATTAACTGTTTTTGAATTGAAATTAATGTTTTTGTTGTAATTTATACGATAAGTCTTGTATTGTACGGAAAAGAGCGCAAAACTTTTTTTTTGCACACAAGCGACTCGCCTTCTACGCGGCGGTCCTAGATAGAACAACTGCTAGAATTTATTAACTTCCTAATCATAGGGATGTTCTTGTAATAAATTCGAAAAATAAAAATCGTTGTTTTTAACGTATTTTGCAATTTGGAAGTAACATTATCACTGCTAGGTAATTTGGAGATGAAGTGTAAACAGTAATAACAACACGACCTGAAGAAAAATTCATAATATTAATTTTTCTGTTTAAACAAAAAAACTGGAAAAAGTAAATAATAGATATTATATAATTGTGAAAATAGAAAGGGCGGCAAATTTAGACTTCACCCCGGATCGCACTACATTTTCATTCATATTCTTAGTGATGTTTGAATCAGCACTACAAGACCGGATTAGACTATACATACATATTAGTAATATCAGAAATTTTTTTCACTAGGCATTCTCATGGTCGCACTTGCTGGCTTCATTCCCATCAACATGTGTATCCCATACGTTATTCCGATAAAAGGGGTTCTAGTCATCAGCAACAAGTTACGTGTTATTCTTTTAAGGATGTTAACAACTGGTGGATAGTCAAACGACCTGAAAAAAATGAATTGGTCGTTGAAAACCCGATTGATGCAATCAAACATGGTGACGTCATTCAGTTGGTACATGGTAATAGCATTTTTTTTATTACACAGGAGGACGAACGAAAGTAGTAGAAGGGTTTTAAATAGCATTTATATCCAAACTAACACGAATTCAATTATAATTTAACTATCAATTCTATCGTGACTAAAGCCACTACACTTTCAATTTTTTCGTTAAGATATTTACTCAATTTTTCCCATAGTGAAGTATAAAAATGTATATTTTGTGATTTTAATTTAAGCGAAGTGCAACTTAAAATAAATTTGATTACGTTACGCTTTAGCGCCATGAAGATAAATAGGTTTTTTCAAAATCAAGATGTTATCGTTCGAATGGCAACATAGTTGAAAAAAATTTACGGAAAAAAGGAAAACAAATTGAGTTACGTCATGTGAAATCGCAAACATATATAGAAAACGTGTATTTTTGATCAAAAAATTTAAAACTCAAATATAAAAGGGAAACATAATCTAACCTAACCTGACAAAAAACCATTAAACATCTCTATATATATCCAAGGCATGCCACAGACGACCAAATGACTTTCGGCGACACCAGTAATTCTCGAAAAAGTTAGTGTGGGCCTTAATTTCGGGGTCCAAAAATTTTTTGTGAGTGGTTTACACTTTTGTGCATGCATACTTCATTTATTTTCTCTAGCGATGTGCCCCTTCCAATGTCTTGGATGCGCGCTGGCAAAATCGTAGGTAGGGAAAAAAAAGCTTATTATACTCTCGACTCTTGATCATACTTTTTCATACAGTACCTGCCAAAACTTTTTTCAATCATGAATAGTAGTGCGAGTCGAAAACAAGCGTTAAAGCCTTTAATATGTCTTCAAATATACATAATCATCTCGTTGATATTTTCAGTAGTAAATGGTACCAATAACAGTACATTTGAGCAATGCAATTGTAGTGGATAAAATGGTCAATTTTTCCGTGCAGTACTGTACGGATTATACGCTCCTCACCGCTTAAGAGTTTGGCCGAGAGTTGTCTCCTTCCTTTTCTGGCCTAGTGCTGTTTTTTTCTACTTTGCGCCGGTCAAACTGAAGGTCACATCGCTACAGAAAGTAAACGAAGTATACCAACATTGTATTTTCGGCGGCTTATTACACTCTTATCCACTTGGACCGCGTACCCAAAACCGTCTAACTGTAAAAATCTGTAATGGTGAGAAAGAGTGGACTTCCGAAAACAGCGAAATTTTGCATTGATTTAAATAAATCACTTGATTATAAAACTAACACTGATTGACTAAATGAGAAATTGATAAATATGTATATATGTATGAATTTTTTCAATTTTCTAACTTGGTTTGAATGGTTAAATTTTAGATGACACATTTTGCAATTATGATTAAAAAATTCAATCGTTTATTACTCAAAAACTTAAAAACCTGTCTTGCTGAAATTTAAGGCTTCTAAGACTGCGGATACCCAAATTCTAAATCGTCGCATTTTTTTACTATTTCACCAAATAAAAATGCGCAGTAGGTAATCAAAATGTTTATTTTCGATGGATACAGCCTCGTTGACTGGGCTATAATTCGATTACACTGATATTCAATATTTCTACCAATTGTGGACACAGGTAGTGTTTCAGTATAGAAAAAGGTACGCGTGTGATTATATCAAAGCGGGAAACAAAAAAACAACTGCAAGGAAGAATAGAAGAGTGGTAGTAATACAAAAAAATTACAAAAAACATATAGGCATGGTGGAAGGCACAGAAAAATTAAACAAAGAAATGTATAAAAGGGGAAAATTATCGTTATAAGAATAAAGATGTTTATTACAAAGCCTATTTATGCCATGCTTTACTGCTGCCAATTTTAACATGTGCCTATTTAAGTTCCCTGTTTCCGCATATGTGACTACTAAATCGTTTAATTCTGAAATATTTGGTTCATTCAAATCTATTATTTACAAAATTTTATTTCATAAGCGCGTCAATTAGTTCATCTTCAACTTCCAACTACATCTTTCATGGCAAACAATATAAAATTATATTGCGTAGAACGTAGAACATCTACATAAATATGCCTTCCGATGCTATTCGGCTGAAATGAAAAGTGTAGTGGCTTTGGTATATACAGAAATCTATTTAAGAAAATTGTTTAAGCATATTTTATGTTCAAATTTTAGGTTTAACAAGTAGAGCATTAAATTCACACGATGTAGCTGCACCAATGTCGCCCCAATGCCAAGAGGTATCCTGTTATATCGACTACAATATATCTATGGCTGCTCAGAATTTGTGGAAAGTAGATATTATTAATAGAGAACAAATGGGAAATGTATGGCGCGCCATACAGTCTCAAGTTCGCTTAATTCATTTAAATTCGAATCAAGCTTTAAGATACAGCGGCAAGCAGTTGCCCGATTGGGGGTTTCATCAACATGAAGTTGTAACAGATCGCATTATTTACCAAGACGACACTATTTGGAACGTCGAAGAACATGTATACACTAAATGTAATTTTTCTAGACCTTCATCGATTCTTTTTATATTAAATGCTCTTTTTTTAGCTGAAGACCAAAAAGATCGGGAAAGAGATATAATAGCTTCAGAAATGATTCCAACATCTGCCCCACAACTTTCCTTTTGGAACAAATTTTTCGAACTACAATATAAAATGTTATTTAAGGGAACCGAAAGTGTGCAAAATCACATGTTTAGCTCAGAACCTATCGAATGGCCTCTAATGGTTAGGGGTATAGCATACTGGGTTTCTAATCATGATAATGTAAGTTCAACTTCCTTTCTGCGATTTATATAATATTTTTAACTAATTTTTACAGGCTCAAATTCACCTAATTGGTAATATAATGACTTGGTACACAGCAACTTTTTCTGTTGTAGTTTATTGTTTACTTTTTGTATTTTACCTTTTAAGAAGACGGCGACTGTGTTTTGATTTAGAAAACGATGACTGGGAAATATTCAAAGCAATTGGTCTAGTCTTTTTACAAGGATATTTGTTTAACTACATACCTTATTTTTTTGTGGAAAGAACTCTATTTTTACATAATTATTTGCCTGCCTATTATTTTAAAATTCTTTTAACAGCAGCATTGTTCGAGCATATTTATGTATTGATTAAGAAAACAGTTCAGAACAAAATTGCCGCTAAATTATTTGTGGTATTTGTTTTAGTATGGCTTATGTATGTGATTTACATATTTAAGAGATTTACTGTATTAAATTACGGAGTAACCAAATTAACACTTAACGATATTAGGAACCTGAAATGGCGCGATAGTTGGGATTTTATATATCATAGAAATTAATTTTAGATAATTTATTTATATACGTATGTCCTGCTGTTACAAATATTATCGATGTGTAATGTATAATTTTGATAACGAAATTTATTTTTATGAAAAGTATTTTATCTCAATATAAAACTTCACCAGTAAATTGTTCTATAAAAATAATTTAATTATTTTCAATATTTGTAGCTAGTTACAGCAAAGTTACGACGATTGTTGTGCAGAAAGTGAAACAAAAGAAAGATTCTAATAATTATAAATCTTAGTGCTACACGACCAAGATCTTCTATAGTATGCTCTCTAAAAATAAATTCAGTAATTCTATTGATATGTTTTTGTAAAAAATCTCGAGTTTTCAGCCTATTTTTTGTTTTTTATTTTCGTGATATAACTGTATAACTCATTGGAACTTTCGATTTGAAACAGAGAATACGAAGTAATGTGTTGAACACCTACAAGTTGGGTCCTTAATAGAACTGTATAAGGTGATAAAATAACTGAATCCTTGGTTGGGATCGGAAGTACCGGTGTAACAAACAAATGGCGTATTAAATTAGTATTGGGAAGCTCTTTAGTAAAACGGTTTGTGAACCCTAGAATCCTGGAAGTTTTACTAATTACAGCTTCAACATGTTTAGGTAAGGCATAATCTTACCACCATCCATGGATCGTTCTGTATTTTAACCACATCATTAACAGTTTAATATCTTCTGCGTAAATTAGAAATTGTAAAAATGTAATGAACGAGCGATGTCATTAACAATTGTTATAAAGAGTAAGGGGCTCAGGTGAGAGCTTTGAGGTACACCTGATGTAACTTGGTTAAAGGGTGATGTTGATTTTCGCACCCGTACTACCTGCCAACAATTTTAAAGGTATGAAGTCCCTAACTAACTAATAAATTTCCCTGTATAGCAGATGTAAATAATTTGGCGAGCAGACGATCATGGCATATAAACTCACCGTGTGGATATTTTGATCCAAGGCTGCAGTAACTTGAGCAGCCATTGACAAATCCGTGTTGTTGAGGGATTATTAGTGTAAAAAAATGGTCAGTTATATGGTCAGCCACAAGCCTGTCATACATCTTGTCAAACGTACACAGAGCCGATATTGATGTACAATATTTGGCATTTTACTTATCACCTTTCTTATGAATGGGAAGAACGTAAGATTTCTTCCATAATTCAGATAAGTAACCTGCTGGAAAGTTATCGATTAAAAAAATTTAACAGTCAGTTTGCTTAAGGTGGACCAACATTTATGGATCAGGGCTGACCGTTTCCTTGAATGAATCGAAAGCCTATGCTATAGAAGCATCAGTAACATCACAGAGAGAAGCCATGAAACAGTCAGCGTTGAACATCAATACTAATAATACAAATATTCTCGTTATCTGTTATGGTTAGCTGTTTCAGAAGCTCCAAGACTTGAAACGCTTGAATACGGATATACTTTCTTCAGAAGGCAACACGTATGTGCCCTTGAATTGTAGATTACTATCGTATTTGATATGTCTGCTACGGTCACTGGTGTCTTTTGGTGGGATCCTTTAATTTTTATCGAAGAAAAAATTTTCCATTCTCTTCAGCGAATTTTCTAGTTCACTTATTCGTTTTTTAAATCAAAAAATTTCATTTTCGCATTTATCTGGCCATTTTCTAAAAGGGACAATATACAGATATGTTTTACCTACCTACATTACATACGTCACAGATACCATATGTAAATAATTAAAGCTTATTAACAGAATAAGCATGAATTAAAAACTAATTTGCCCACTAACCGTGTTTAACACACCAATACACGATTAGTTTCACTTTCTGGGGCAACATTATCAAATGGAATAACAATTGTACATTATCTACTTTGAATATGCTAATTCACACAAATAAAAATAAATAATTCTTTTTGATCAAAGTTTTATTTAATCAAAAATGTACCTAATACTGTTGGAATTTGATTAAAGAAGACGCTCAGAGATCAACAATCATTAACAAACATTAATAAATTTTTTGTATAGATAAAACTGTAAAATAAAAAATTGTTTTAAAAACGTTGTAGGATTAAAATAACAAATAATTGAAAACCACGTGGTGATAGTTATAGTGTTTGTGTATAGCTCTCACCCTGTGGTTTTAAAGAAAATTAAACAGTAAATATAAGTAAGCATATTATTGTCTTTGCAGTGATCAACAGTGTATACAAGTAATTCTATTTCATATTACGTTTAAAATCAAATTCTTGAAAATGTAGAGAACAAATTCTTGCATTTTTCACATTAAAATTGTCATTACATTTACAAGAATGTATCTAAGATTTACGAAGCTGAGTATTATAAGGAAAACGGAAAAATTTTACAATTTTTCGAAAATCCCGTTTGCATTGATTTTGTAATAGAATTATAACGACAAAAAAGTGCAAAAACAATAGTTTGTCTCTATCCTCGTTTACTTACCATCATCAGAAAAATTGGTCATAATACACTGGCCAAACTGCTAACGGTGTGACGCGTATCGGCTAATCTTATCCCACTATCATGCCCTGCCTTTATTCAGATTATATATTCCGTTGAATACATGTCGTCTATTTATACTTTTTAGTTAAAATAATAAATTTAAAGGATTTTTTTAGCAAAACATGTTTTTATTAAAACGCACTAGAAAGTAGAAAATCAAAGTAACTAAAAATTAAATTTGATAGATGTTTTCTTATTGAGATGCTCTGAAAAGAAATAAAGAATTAATCTTCCGATAAGACATGATGCAAAGCAACAAGCACTTCGTGACTGTGTGTTATTTTTTCTTACTGTAGCTTACAAAGTACAATTTTCGATCGAGCAAAAATGTAAATATTTTCCCCTTCATCAAGAAATCATCGGTCGTGTTAAAATCGGAGATAACAAGTAATAAAGAATCCTTTTTCGGCATTTAGATTTGGCAACAGCGAAAAAGTCGTTTAACACTTATAGCCCGGTCGATGAATTCAAAGGGACTAGAAGCTAAATTTTTGCTTTGAATTTATACGAATTGCAGACGCGCCTCTTTATATCCGCTTATTAATTGAGCGAATCCTACTTACTAGTAATTTCCCTAAATCTAAAATTGTATGAATAATAAACTAAGCTTTTATCAATTTTTTATTTAGAACAAAAAATTGCACCTCCCGCTCTAAACAAAGCTTTGTATTCGCGCCTGCTGTAAAAAAAAAACATTATTTATATGTATAATTAATTTATTTTCCTTTATAAATCTGTAATATACAGACTTCTACATTCATAAATAGTGAAAACTATCATTCTCCAAACTAAAATTGAAATGATTCTTTTAGTGGCGTAAGAAATTGCTTTTTAATAAATAATTACTTGCACTTTTTATAATTTACAAAACTTTTGACAATATAAGTGAATGACTTAAAAAATAACTTTTCATATTGAAAAGAATCATTCCCCTCTTACACTGATGATGAAATTGCATTTTTACATTTATTTCACACTAACACAGAATTTTGAAATATTTTATAAAAATAAACAAAACACAAAGACTGATAAAGACCGTTATCGGCTCATTCTGAGCTCGAAAAATAAAATTACCCTAAAGCTGAACTCTTGAACAAAGCTCTTTCTT